TTATTATTATTATTATTATTATTATTATTATTATTATTATTATTATTGGAAATTTTGCACCTCTTGAATAGGAGAGGCTGGGTGATTGAAATCACATCCTGTACCTGCACTTTGCTGAAATCCTGTGCATAAGGAAGGTGCACAATTGCAATTTCAGAACGATGCATATGTCACTTAGCAACTCACCTCCAACTCTCCTGGGGGGTTCATTGTTTACGAGACACTCGTCACACTGTGTATTTTTCTCCTGCTTCCGTCTCACGACAACTTTTTGTGTCCTGACAAATATTTTGCTTTCAGCAAAACAACAGGCTGCCCGAATCAATGCTTCTGCTGAAATTATTTGGTTTTTGTTTGTGCCAACAAAACCCCAAATGAATGAATGGGAGATTTAGATTAGCTAGAAAGCAGGAAATGGTTGGATTTCTTGTTTTCTAGCTAGTCTTTAGATCTTCAGCTCTGCTTTTAAGCACAGCCGAACCTCCCTTAGGACTGAAGGTTCTGTTATTCAGTGCAGACTCACGGCAAGCAAATTTTATGTGACAGACTCGGGTAGCTGATGGCAGATAGATAGATCTCTGAATGATTCTGTGAGCAACTCAATCTGCCTATCTGCTCTGCCTGATTTTGGGTAAAAGTTGCTCTTTTTTTAATAAAAAAAATAAATATTTACATGCATGGTGTGTTGTGAGTTAATTTTGTGAGTTTGCTAGCAATTTGCTAGTAAATTTTATGAGCTTGTATGCAAGCAAATTTTATGTGACAGACTCTGGTAGCCGATGGCAGATAGATAGATCTCTGAATGAATCTGTGATGCTGTGAGCAACTCAATCTGCCTGCCTGCTCTGCCTGATTTTGGGTAAAAGTTGCTTTTTTAAATAAAATTCAATATTTACATAAATATTTATAATATTTACGTACAAGCCACGCCCAGCCAGTCACATAATCACCAAGCCACACATACAAATTAGGCCACACCCACAGAACAGGTTGTTAAAGAAATTTTCATTACTCCCCCTTCTTATTCGGGTTACTATGATGAGGATTATCCTTATTCTGTTGCTTCGCCTGCACACGGAGTGCTTCTGTACCAGAGACAAATTCCTTATGTGCATAAATCATACTTAGCCAAATAAAGCATGCAATTCAACAACAGTGGTGCTTTGCCCTACCTTGTCATTGATCAGGAGCTCAATGGGGTTGTTCCCCCACTCAATCAACACTACTTCGTTGGTTTGTCCTGGGACGGCGTAAGAGAAAGGGGTCCCAATTCCAGGAGAGGCGCCCGATTTCAGCCATAAGCAGACGGTGAAGGCGTAGAGTTCAGGCAGCGTTTTCTTGATCTTCCCGTACAAGTAGTTGGTGCGGAGAGGGAGGGAGACTTTAAATTCATCCGGCGCTTTAAAGGCGCTGGTACCTTAGGGCCAGAAAGTAAAAATGATCTGCATGTGACACAGGATAGTCCCTAATCAAGAGGTTTTTGGCCTGCTGATAATGGTCAGATAAGAGGAAGAAATTAGCTGGTTCTTCAGCTGCTAAATTTTTATTTTATTTATTTGATTTGTCAATCGCTTACAAGATGATAGGTATAAGTGTAAGCATGAGTAAGAATATGGGAAATAGGTATGAATAAATAGGGACAATAGGACAGGGACGGTAGGCACGATGGTGTGCTTATGCACGCCCCTTATATACTTCTTAGGAATGGGTATTCTCTCCCTTCTTTTCACTCCTTCCTCCATTCTTTTCCTTCCTTCCTTACTTCCTTCCTTCCTTCCTTCCTTCCTTCCTTCCTTCCTTCCCCTTCCCTGTTCTCCTTCCTTCCCCCTTCCTTCCTTCTTTTATTTTTTATTTGATTTATTTGATTTGTCAATTGCTTAAAAGATCATAGGAATAAGTATAAACGTGAGTAAGAATACAGGAAATAGGTACGAATAAATGGGGACAATAGGACAGGGATGATAGGCACGATGGTGCACTTATGCACGCCCCTTACAGACCTCTTAGGAATGGGTATTCTCTCCCTTCCTTTCTCTCTTCCCTCCATTCTTTTCTCTCCTGTCTTCCTTCCTTCCTTCCTTCCTTTCTTCCTTCCCCTTCCCTATTCTCCTTCCTTCCCCCTTCCTTCCTTCCTTTTTTATTTTTTATTTTATTTATTTGATTTGTCAATTGCTTAAAAGATAATAGGAATAAGTATAAACAGGAGTGAGAATACAGGAAATAGGTTCGAATAAATGGGGACAATAGGACAGGGACGGTAGGCACGATGGTGCACTTATGCAGGCCCCTTACAGACCTCTTAGGAAAGGGGTGAGGTCAATAGTGGATAGTTTGAGGTTAAAGGAGTGGGGGTTAGAGGATGTAATAACAGAGCAGGTAGGGCATTCCAGGCATTGACCACTCTGTTGCTGAAGTCATACTTTCGGCAATCAAGTTTGGAGCTGTTTACATTGAGTTTGTATCTGTGGTGTGCTCTTGTATTGGTGCAGTTGAACCTGAAGTTGTTATTGACTGCTAGGACATTGTAGCAGATAATTTTGTGTGCTACGCTTAAGTCCAACTGTGCACTGATGAGGTTGCCTCATTGCATAATTCCCACAACATTGCAAAACTATTTAGTTTAGACTGTATTAATATTACTCTTTCATCTTTCCTATTACCTATCTCCTTCTCTACTGATGACTATAACTTTGTTGCTTGTGTCTTTACGATTTATATTGTTTTATTTAGTTTCCTACTATGATTTGTGTTGATTGCTTACTTAGTATCCCATGGCTATCACTAAGTGTTGTATCTTATGATTTATGACGAATGTATTTTTACGATGACTATGATCATGGTTTTATCGCTTATAGCTTTTATGTACAATGAGAGCTTATGCACCGAAGACAAATCCCTTGTGTGTCCAATCACCCTTGGCCAATAAAGAATTCTAAACAAAGAATATATTGGTAATTAGAGGAGGAGGAAGGCAGTGTTAGCAATTAGGAAGGAGAGGCTGGCAGTGTAACTGTGGAAGAGATTGCTCGGCTTGTTTGTCAGGAAAAAAATAAATAAATTCTGTAAGCCCCAATCATCCCGTAGAAATCACATAAAGGAATGCAAATCCCTAAGCTAGCAAAGAATGTAGGTCAGAACTCCCCCTTTGACAAGCCAATATTTCTCAGTCGTGTCTCCGCTCTCCCCTCTCCCAACTTCAAGCAAGGGAGCATATCACAAGGGGGTTGGAAGGATGACAGATCTGCTACGACAAAAGGGTTTGGGACGCTCAAGGGCTGTTCAGAAGTGACTTATTACTGTTAAGGATGCGTAGGGGCCCTTTGTTGCAAGATGCAAGGCATCAAAGGGAGTTGAGCTGTATTCTATAACTCAAAGGCAGCCCTTCTAGGCCCAGGTTCTCTCCAGATTGTGTTTCGGCTCCGTGAAGGTCTAGAGGGTATGATTCAAAAATAAATAAATAACGACAGTGACTCCAGAAGGACTACTGAAGCGTTGCCCCTTTATGTACGCAACACGCAAAAAATAAATAATAGAGTGCTATTTCAGACATATCAGCACAGCCTCTGGTTTTTTTCCCCTTCTATATCCTGTAGACGCCTTTGGTTGTGTAGGGGTGAGAGTGTGTGTCCGTGCGTACATGTGTGTTCTAAAACAATTCTTCATATTTAAAGGGAAGGGAGGAAAATCTGGCCTTGGCTCACTTCATTAAAGTCATCAGTACCTTCAACCAGATAGATAGATAGATAGATAGATAGATAGATAGATAGATAGATAGATAGATAGACAGACAGATAGACAGACAGATAGACAGACAGACAGATAGGCAGATAGATAGATAGATAGATAGATAGATAGATAGATAGATAGATAGATAGATAGATAGATAGATAGATAGATAGATAGATAGATACTGATAGATAGATAAATAGATAGATAGATAGATGATAGATAGATAGATAGATAGATAGATAGATAGATAGATAGATAGATAGACAGACAGACAGACAGACAGACAGACAGACAGATAGATAGATACTGATAGATAGATAAATAGATAGATAGATAGATAGATAGATGATAGATAGATAGATAGATAGATAGAGAGAGAGAGAGAGAGAGAGAGAGAGAGAGAATAGAGAGAGAGAGAGAGAGATAATTGATAGATTACATAGAGACAGAGAGATTAGATAGGGAGGGAGGGAGGGAGATTAGAGAGAGAGAACAAAAGACAGACACACCAACCGATATTAAAATATGCATCACTGGCCTCACAGGTGACAAAGTAGAAAACCATCCACAAAGTTCAAGGGTGTTGCCTTTCAGAGAGGCAAGTCAACCTATCGATTGCGCCGAGTGTTCCATGGGCGTATTTTGTCATGTGCTCCTCACACGCGGCCTTCTCGGGGAGGAGACCCAGAGCCCGGGAAAGCTTACCTCGTTCCAGTTCAGACACCCTTTCTAGCAGAGCGTTCAAGGCAGCCTCCGTCCTCTGCCGGTGGGTGGAGGTCTCGTTATGGAGCAACCACTTCTCGTTCTCCAGCTCGGACACTTTGCTGAGCAGCTGGCGCTCCAGTTCTCCAAGCCGCCTCTGTAGCATCTCTCTCAGGTCGTTGGGCAAGGCTCCAACGGTCACGTTGCCTCGAAGCTGGTGCTTTGGAAGGAATTTGGGGAAGGAAGGGAAATCATCACACACCACAGGAAACGAACGGCAACTTCATTTGTCTAATTGAGTAGCATCTTAATGTTCGCTCTGTGGGTGCGATGTGTGTAAAACTGCAAATATACCAATGCAGCTCTTGCAAAGTTAGAATAACAGAGTCGGAAGGGACCTTGAAGGTCTTCTAGTCCAACCCTTTGTTCAAGCAGGAAACCCTATAACATTTTAGATCAATGGTTGTCCAATCTCTTCTTAAAAACCTCCAGTGTTGTAGTACCCAGAACTTCTGGAGGGAAGCCGTTCCACTGGTTAATTGTTCTCACTGTTAGAAGTTTCTCCTTAATTCTAAGTTGATTGGTTTCCATCCGTTGCTTCCTGTCCCTGCCCTCAGGTGGACTTTGGAGAATAGACCCACAAGGATAGGGGACCCCAATGGGCCTATTTATTTAAATAAAGTGCATGACTTTCCATCTCATAAGGATGATTCCGGGTGGCATACAAAGGCGAAAACCCAACCATCTAAATCAGAGCTTGCCCAACAGTGGTGGAATTCCAAAGTTTTTACTACCGGTTGTGTGAGCGTGGCTTGGTGGGCATGGCAGGGGAAGGATATACTGCAAAATCCCCCTTCCCTCCCCACCCCACTAACCTGCTTTCCAGCTC